CTATACTGGAATTAAAATAAAAATTTAATACAAAAAGCAAGAAAGGGGTACCTGGGTGGCTCAGTCAGTTAAGCATCCAACTCTTGATTTCAGTTCAGGTTATGATCTCAGGGTTGTGAGTTCAAGCCCCACATCAGGCTCTGTGCTGGGCAGGGAGCCTGCTTAAGATTCTCTCTTTCACTCTCTGCCACTCCCCCACCCCCTTCTCTCTCCATTTAAAAAAAAAAGGCGAGAAAGAATCAGCAAACTCAAAGATAGGGCAGTGGAATTCATCCAATAGAGGAACAAAAAGAAAAAAAGAATGAGAAAGTATGAATATATAGCTTAAGGAACTTATAGGATAACAGCCAGCTGACCAATATTTGCACTGTAGGAATCCCAGAAGGAGAAAAGAAAGACAAAGGACCAGAAAACTTATTTGAGGAAATAATGGCTGAAAACTTCCCTAATGTGAGGTAGAAAACAGACACCGAGATCCAAAAATCCAGACAGTTCCAAATAAAATGGACCCAAGGGGACCCACAAGACACATTATAATTAGTGAAAAAAAAGCCAAGGACAAAATCTTAAAACCAGTAAGAGAAAAACTACTTGCTAGGGAACTCTTTGCAGGACCATCAGCAGGCTTTTCAGTTGAAACTTTGCAGGCCAGACGGGAGTGGCAAAATATATTCAAAGTGCTGAACACTATTAGACAATGGTTGAAAATAAAGAAGACAAACCAAAAAAATATTTACATGCTTGGGAAAATGGATTTAGGGTTGTGGGGGAGGCAGTAGATTGCATTATCGAGACAGAAATTTCCTCATAGAGATTATAATGTGTTTGTTTCTTGCTTGTCTTTGAACACTGCAGTATCTACTAGGTATTCAGAGTGTTTGGTTTGAATATTTGCTTGACTTGTGAAAGATACAGTTACAAAAAACTGTTGACCCAGTAATGACTGATCATTTTACAAGTTCTTTAAAACTTGTCAGCATTTGTCTCCTTAGAAAGTTAATTTTCTTTCACTGAAATTATACAGCAATTTATTCTGTGTGTTGCACAGAATGGCCGCATCCTGGGGTGCCTAAGTGGCTCAGTCGGTTGAGTACCCAACTCTTGATTTTGGCTCAGTTCAAGATCTCAGGATTGTGGGATAGAGCCCCAGGTCGGGCTCCGTACTGAGCAGGCAGTTTGCATGGATTTTCTCTCTCCCTCTTCCTTAGCCCCTCCCCCACCCGTGTGCTCTCTAAAATAAATGACTAAATCTTAAAAAAAAAAAAAAAAAAAGCTGCTTCCTCAAAAACAAACAAAAATGGTATATTAACAAAACTCAGACATACTTTGGGGTTATATTCACTGTAACTGTGGACTTATTATGATTCCTTTCAGCCCTGAGGACCAGGCTTAGAGTAGAAAAAAAAATTACAACTGATCTCAATCTCAAAAATTGCAGAAACAGTCTCTTCCACTAACACATGCAGTTTCTGAGAATTCAGGCCAAACATCCAGCTCTCCACCAGAAAATACACAGGGAATTACCATTGAAATGACTAGTCACTCAGCTTGCCTTGTGGTTTTAGTTTCTGTAGTGAGTGAGGCTTTGAAGACCCTTGCTACTTTCAGTTTCTATTTCACATTCTAATCATCTGTTCTCTGATGGCCGGGGGCGGGTAAGAAATCCCCAGGACTGGGGAAGAAGTAGATCAGAAACCAACACACCTAAACTAAGGGACAAAGAACTCTTAAGACATTCTCAGGGAAGCAGCTTTCTTACCAGCTCTAAAGGATCTCTGCTACTGAATTTACAGTTAAGGAAGACTGGAGCAAGGGTGGGAAAGATTTGCAAGGGTCAGAATGTTTTCAAAACTTTCTATCCAGGATAGGGTGCAGTAGAGCCAGAAAGAGCAATGAATGGGATATAGGTAAATAGCTTGCTTACATTGTTAAAAACGGAAAAAGAAAAAAATTGAAACTCAGAGTGAACAATGAAGAGGTTCAATGAAAACAACTATATACTTTTAGTCATAGACTTGAACCTAATAAGATGGATTTCTTCCTTTAGAAATAATCCTGGATTAATTAATGTTTATTTTCCGGCACGCACTCGTTCCTTAGGGCTTCTTGGGCTAGATTCTGTTTCTCCTCTATTGTCTCTACTATCATGAATCATTTAATTTGAGTTGCCCAACTTGACCCATCAATACTGTCTGGCAATTTTGTTTGCTCCTTAGAGCTCATACCTTTGGATTTCTTGCCACGACACATGCTTCATGCATTTTCTTCTTGTTTGATTTCCATTTATCTCCTTGCTAAAAGCCTTTCCTCCCCCTCCAAACTCAAACCAAAAACAATGCAAAACAAAGCAAAAGCAAACAATAATAACAAACAAAACCAACTAGAATTGTATGGCTGGTAACAGAGATGATTTCCTCTAGACACGCCATCACTAGCACTTCTGAGCCTTTTCTCCTATAGTTCTTGGCATTTTCCTTTTTTATACTTTTTTCCCCTTCTCTTTCAGCTCTCTTTTCTAAGCTAGAAGTTATACTGGTATAAATAAACATTTACCTCTATATATTTTTTTTTTTTTTTCACAAATAGGCTAAGAGTGTTGAGTAGAAATGCCAATGTCATACAAATAGCCACTTGTAGGGCTAGTATTGGAAATTAGGTCTGCCTTACTTCAAAGCCAAATGTGTATTTGTGGGTGTGTGTTGATCCATTCTTGCATTTTTTTAAAAAAATATTTTTATTTATTTATTTGGGAGAGAGCAAAAGTGAGAGAGATCACAGAGACAGAGGGAGAAGCAGACTAGCTGCCAAGCAGAGAGCCTGATGTGCTGCTTGATCCCAGGATTATGGGATCATGACCCAAGCCGAAGGCAGACACTTAATGACTGAGCCATCCAGGCGCCCCTTTTGCATTGTTTTTATTTACAAAAGTTTATGAGGCTCTAACAGAGTTAAAAAGAATGCATCTCAGAGCACACATCACAGGCCGGGCTAGGAAAGGTAGAGCAACCGTTAATTATATATGGGTGTGTTCATGTTGAATCTGCAAAGATGTTTTGGAGATTAGGCTCTCCTAAAAGCATTAAAGATGTCACCCAGATAATATTTGGGGGCAATGTGTAAAATACTTCTATTAATATAAATACACAGTGCTAATGTTATTCTTTAGGAGGTCTGAAAATTCAGACCCATAGTTCCCTCTCCCATTAGTGACAGCATCCTAAAGCACAAAAGCTTGTAAGCCTCCAATATCTGCAAATAGATTTGGATTGTGTATCTTCTGTTTTTCTAGCTAACTGTAGATCATCACTGCCAGTTCCCCATATCCTTGTAATCTAAAAATGATTATGACCCCTGCTTTATGTAAATCAGGCAACCAGAACTCTACAAATGTACAGTACCAATATTATATTGGAGATGCATTAGAATGGAAATAGACTTGGCATTGGAGTCTGTAAAATCATGGAGTCCCTCCTTGGGTTTGGGTTGGCCTGGGCATTTCCTGGCTCCCATGACCATGGTGCTGTGCCATTTGCAAAGGATCACCTATGATCTGCTCTTAAGCAGTTTGTTTTTATTTGTCACCTGAATAATCTCCAGTGCATTAGCTATTAGGAAGAGGGGAGAATGAGTTCTTATAATTTTTAAAAAGCAGTTTCTACCACTGGCTAATAAGGGAATCCATAACTTTTCAATTAAGATTTTAGTGAAAGTCAAGCAGATATTGGATTTTTAGTTTCTGTAGTAAATAATCACTTCTAAAATGGAAGAAAATTGCTCTTATAATAAGGCAAGGCAGAAAACCAAACATTTTCTTAAAAATGCTTTATCAGCAACTCTTCAGGTTACAGGAATTGATGCCCAGAAGTCAATGGCCAAGTATTATTTACAAAGGTAATTTCACTCTCACTCTCATTCATAAAACAATCATGAATTGAAGTTTTGATTGAAGAAGGCACTACTACAGCTATATGAAAAACTCCTTAAAAGTACAGTTATAAGGGGCACCTGGGTGGCTCGGTCGATTAAGCATCTGACTCTTGGTTTCGGCTCAGGTCATGATCTCAGAATCCTGAGATGGAGCCCGTGTTGGGCTCTGTGCTGGGCATGGAGCCTGCTTGAGGTTCTCTCTCTCCCTCTCTTTCTGCCCCTCCCTGGCTTGTGTGTCCTCTCTCTAAGCTCTAAATAAATAAATAAATAAATAAATAAATAAATAAATAAACAAACAAACAAACGTTTTTAAAAAAGTACAGCTATAAGAAGTAAACAATTATGATTTGTTAGATTATGCTACATAATGACCTGGCAGGATTTAGTATAATACAGTTTGACTAGACATAGCCCTACATTAGAGGGAAACAAGTTGATAAATGGTAAAAGCAAGAAGTATAATATAACAAATGGTGGTCATAAAGATTCAATCTAAGGATTCGGGAAGGTAAAAACTAGGGAACACAGCAAGCCAAAAACCTAAAGGGAAGAGTCAGATTTAAACTAAAAATAGGTAAAACTCAGGAAATGGATTTCCTTATGCCCACCAAATACTTAAGAACCAATGGGGTAGCCTGTAATAGTCCTGAGAAGGGCCTAGAACTTATTTTACTATGACCCTCTTTGCTGTCTTTTTTTCAAAAATTTCTTTAGAAACATTGGCCATGGGGCGCCTGCGTGGCTCAGTCGGTTAAGCGGCTGCCTTCGGCTCAGGTCATGATCCCAGGGTCCTGGGATCGAGTCCCGCATCGGGCTCCTTGCTCAGCGGAGAGCCTGCTTCTCCCTCTGCCTGCCTGCCACTCCCCCTGCTTATGCTCTCTCTCTCTCTCACTCTCTCTGTGTCAAATAAGTAAATAAAATCTTTAAAAAAAAAAAAAAAGAAAAGAAACATTGGCCATTTTGGGAAGTAGTATGTCCCCAAGTTCAGGAAGCAAAATGACTTTCTTTTCTGTAAAACCAGAAATTTTGAACTATCTCATCTCTTCCCTTGCAGACAAAGTCACACCATAGACATGACACCAAAGACCCACATGCCAGCCCCAGTGTGCTTCATTGAGAACATCAGAGGGCAACTGGTGGCTAATCAGGAAGCTTTGGAGATCCTGGCAGCCAATAAGAATCCTCTTGTTGTGGTGGCTATTGTGGGCCTCTACCGCAAAGGCAAATCCTACCTGAAGAACAAGCTGGCTGGAAAGAACAAGGGTGAGTGGCACCAACAAAGCTCTGCCAAGTCCTTTCTGTCCACCCACACTGCCAGCACTGAGTGCAGTGATGAAAGGAGAGAAAGTTAGAGACAGGGAGTAATGCCAAAAGCTAATGTTTGGGCTACAGGTGGCTAATTATCTTCTGGGAAGCAAAGGCAGAGGTCTGTTCCTGACATATCATCTCTTTTTCTTCTCTTAGTTTCTCCCTAGAAAAAGCATATTTTCCAATCTTGAGGAGGAAGACATCAATAAAATAATTTCTATACATGTAATTATAAACTACTAAAATGTGTGACATTCCTGTAAAAAGGAAAAACATCAAATTTACAACGTATGGTATTTGATACTCTCATTTTCCCATTCCTCTATTCTAATTCAGATCCATACTGGCTATACTTTTTGATGTGTCCTCATCGTGCATTCCTTAAACCCTAGCTCAGTTGTCAGGAAGATCTCCAACTTCCAGATCCCCTCCTCTCTTACTACCTCTCCCTTCCCCCTTGCAGGCTTCTCTATTGGAACCACGGTGCAGTCTCACACCAAGGGTATCTGGATGTGGTGTGTGCCTCATCCCAAGAAGCCAAACCACACCCTAGTTCTTCTTGACACAGAGGGTCTAGGACATGTAGAAAAGGTAAGGAACAAGAATTCCTTTTGTTTCCTCCTCACCTCTGAACATTCTTTACACAGGGAGGTTTGTTCTTGTGTTTGTTTTTCTGAATTTGTACTTCTGTTTGACAGAGTATTCCTTTTTTCCCTTTCTATTTTTAATTAATATTTTAATCAAAATTTGGAAATCTGAGATGAGAAAAATGTATTTATAAGCCAGAATCATGACTGGGACAAGACACTAATGTAGAGCTAGGCAGTTAACTGAAATGCAGAAAAGATGGTACAAATAAAACCACTCTCACGAGTCTGATCCTGCAGAGAAGAGTGATTAGTAGTGAGCTCTGGGTCAGAGGATCTTGGGTTCAAATAAGGGCTCTGGCACTTGTAGCTTTCTGACTTTGATGAGCAAATCTCCCCAGATCTTTTATTTTCTTTTTGATCTTAAACAACTTAGCATTTGAACAGTAAACACGTGGGCTTTTTCCACTTCTATACTGGTATTTAACAACCAGCCCACTGTGTGGGGGTTAGGAGGAAGACTTGATTTGTAGCACTTGCCAGTTTTCTAAATATTTCCATCAAAGCGAATTCCAAGCTTCCAAAGTGAAGTCACTAAACTCATGGTTCAGAACAATGAGTGTACAATCAGCTCTTGTGAGCTGGTATGAGCTGGCTCTAGCACCCAACAGAATCTTTCCCTTGCACTTCCCTTGTTTTTCATGTTTTCATTTTGCTTTTGATTTGCCACAAAATCAAAATGGTTACCTCATTTTGTGCTTTAGTTTCCACATCTGTAACATGAAAACGTAGTTATAAACATATCTCATAGTATTGCTTTGAGTATTAGACAAGACCAGTAATGTGAAATGTCTTGTGTATAATAACTAGTCAATAAAATAGATATACATATTATGTGTACAGGCCAAATCTGTTTTACACAATTGAAGATCTTGATTTTTTCCTTTTATTTTAAAATTCCAATATAATTAATGTACAGTTTTACATTAGTTTCAGTTGTATTATATAGCAATTCAACAATTCTACACATTACTCAGTGCTCATCACTGTAAGTGTACTCTAATCCCCTTTACCTATTTCATCCATCTACTCCCTCCCGCCTCCCCTGTAGTAATAATCAGTTTGGTCTCTACAGTTAAGAGTCTATTTTTTATTTTCATTTGTCTCTTTTTTTGTTTTGTTTCTTAAATTCCACATATGAGTAAAATCATAGGGTATCTGTCTTTATCTGACTTATTACACTTAGTATTATACCCTCTAGGTCCATGTTATTACAAATGGCAAGAATTCATTTTTTATGGATGAGTAATATTCCATTGTGTGTATGTATGTATGTGTGCGTATATCCACATCTTCTTTATCCATTCATCAGTCGATGGACACTTGCATTGCTTCCATATTTTGACTATTGTAAATAATGTCACAATAAACCTAGGGGTTCATGTATCTTTTTGAATTAGTGTTTCTGTATTCTCTGGGTAAATTTCCAGTAGTGGAATCACTGGATCCATATGATCCATATGGTAGTTCTATTTTTAATTTTTGGAGGAAACTCCACCCTGTTTTCCACAGTGACTGCAGCAGTTTGTATTTCCACCAACAGTGCACAAGTGTTCCTTTTTCTCCACATCCTCACCAATACTTGTTTTTGTGTTTTTGATGAAAATCTTGATTTTAAGTACTCTGGTTACCCCACTAACTTTGACTATCCATTGCAAATACCTAACTAGTTCTAAGGAAAACTGCTGAAGGGGGAAGAGTTAAGATGGTGGAGAAGTAGGGGGATCCTGAGCTTCTCTCATCCCTCAAACATGGCTAGATAGCTATCAAATTAGTCTGAACACCCAAGAAGTCAATCAGAGGTCTGAGAGAACAAAAACTGCAAGTCTACAAGTAGAAAAACAACCACCTTTGGAAAGCCTTCAGGGAGCAAAACAGTCCACCTACTGGAGGCCAGAGCTGCTTACACCAAGCCCCGCCCCCATGCTCCTGGAGAAGCATTTCCACAGAAACAAGTCAACCTGAGAATCAGCCCAGCAGGCCCCTCCCCGAGAAGACCAGCACAAACAACTACCTTGCACCAAATTTATTGATCATAGAGTGCTACAAAGCTTCAGCTCTAGGGGACATAGGATTGAGCTTCCTTTTTACTTTTATTTCTTTTAAATTTATTATTTTTTCATTTATTTTCTTATAGTTCCAAATCTTTTATTAATCTTTTATTATTAACTTTTTAAATTTTATATGCTTTTCATATATATTTTTTATTTTTTTCTACTTTCATTTTATCTTATTTTTTTATTTTAGGATCTAGATTCACTTAATAAGTAGACCAAAACACACCCAGGATCTAGTGGGTTTTTTTGTTTTCTTGTTTTGTGTTTTTGTTTTCCTTCCTTCGTTTTTTGCTTTGTCTGTTTGTTTCAGTTTTTTTGTGTTGTTTTTTCTGTCTTCTTTTCTTTTCTGGGCAAAATGATGAAATGGAGGAATTCACCCCAAAATAAAGAACATAAGGTAGAATTCACAGCCAGGGATTTCATCAATACAGACATAAGTAAGATGTCTGAACTAGAATTGAAAACAATAATTATAAGGATACTAGCTGGGCTTGAAAAAAGCATAGAAGACACTAGAGAATCCCTTACTACAGAGATAAAAGAACTAAAATCTTGTCAGGCCAAAATTAAAAATGCTATAACCAAGATATAAACATAAATAGGCGGCATAAAAACAAGGATGGATGAAGCAGAGGAACAAATCAGTGATACAGAAGATAAAATTATGGAAAATAATGAAGCCAAAAGGAAGAGGGAAAGAAAGGTAATGAACCATGAAGGTAGAAGAAGGGAACTCAGCACCCTAGTAAAATGTAATAACATTCATATCATAGGAGTCCCATAAGATAAAGAGAGAGAGAAAGGGGCAAAAGGTGTATTCCAACAAATTATAGCTGAAAACTTCCCTAATCTGAGGAAGGACACAGACATCAAAATCCAGGAAGCACAGAGAACTCCCATTAAATTCAAGAAAAGCCCACCATCAGAAAGGCATATCATAGTCAAATTCACAAAATAGACAGACAAGGAAAGAATCCTGAAAGCAGCAAGGGAAAAATTAACCTACAAGGGAAGACAGATCAGCTTTGTAGCATATCTGTTCACAAAGACTTGGCAGGCCAGAAAGGAGTGGAAGGAATTATTCAGTGTGCCAAATGGGAAAAATATACAGCCAAGAATTCTTTATCCAGCAAGGCTGTTATTCAGAAAGGAAGGAGAAAGAGTTTTCCAGACAAACAAAAACTAAAGGAGTTCGTGACCACTAAACCAGTCCTGCAAGAAATTTTAAGGGGAACTCTTTGAGGGGAGAAAAAAAGACCAGAAGCAACAAAGACTAGAAAGAACCAGAGACTATTACCAGAAACACCAACTCCACAGGTAACACAGGGCACTAAACTCATATCGTTCAATAATCACTCTGAACGTAAATGGACTAAATGCTCCAATCAAAAGACACAGGGTATCAGAATGGATAAAAAAGCAAGATCCATCTAAATACTGCCTACAAGAGACTCATTTTAGACCTAAAGTCACCCGCAGATTGAAAGTCAGGGGTGGAGAACCATCTATCATGCTAACAAATGTCAAAAGAAAGCCAAAGTAGCCATACCTATAGCAGACAAACTAGATTTTAAAACAAAGACTAAAACAAAAGATGAAGAAGGGCATTTTATCATAATTAAGGGGTCAATCCATCAAGAAGATCTAACAATTGTAAATATTTATGCCCCCAACTTGGGAGCACACATATACATAAATCAATTAATAACAAACATAAAGAAACTCATTGATGATAATACAATAATAGTAGGGGACTTTAACATCCAATTACAGCAATGGACAGATCATCTAAGCAGAAAATCAACAAAGAAATAATGGTTTTGAAGGACACACTGGACCAAATGGACTTAACAGATATAGTCAGAACAATTCGTCCTAAAACAGCAGAGTACACATTCTTCTCGAGGGTACATGGAACATTCTCCAGAATAGATCACACACTGGGTCACAAATCAGCCCTCAACAAGTACAAAAAGATCGAGATCATACCATGCATATTTTCAGACCACAATTCTATGAAACTGGAAGTCAACCACAAGAAAAAAATTGCAGACCTCAAAAACATGCAGGTTAAAGAACATCCTATGAAAGAATGAATGGGTTAATCAGGAAATTAAGGAAGAAATTTAAAAAATACATGGAAGCAAATGAAATTGAAAGCACAACAGCCCAAAACCTTTGGGATGCAGGAAAGGCAGTCTCAAGAGGAAAAGTATATTACAGTACAGGTCTACCTCAAGAAGCAAGAAAAGTCTCAATATACAGCCTAAACTTACACTTAAAGTTAAGCGCTAGAAAAGAACAGCAAATAAAGCCTAAAGCCAGCAGAAGAAGGGAAATAATAAAGACTAGAGCAGAAATCAATGATATAGAAACAAACAACCCAGTAGAACAGATTAACAAAACTAAGAGCTGGTTCTTCAAAAAATTAATGAAATTGATAAGCCCCTACCAGACTTATCAAAAAGAAAAGAGAAAGGACCCAAATAGATAAAATCACAAATGACAGAGGAGAGATCACAACCAACATCACAGAAATACAAACAATTACAAGAGAATACTATGCCAACAAACTGGACAATCTGGAAGAAATTCCTAGAAACTTACAAACTACCAAAACTGAAACACGAAGAAACTGAATACTTGAACAGACCCATAACCAGCAAAGAAATTGAATCAGTAATCAAAAATCTCTGGACTATGGGCGCCTGGGTGGCTCAGTTGGTTAAGCGACTGCTTTCGGCTCAGGTCATGATCCTGGAGTCCCTGGACTGAGTCCTGCATCGGGCTCCCTGCTCAGCAGGGAGCCTGCTTCTCCCTCTGATCCTCCCCCCTCTCATGTGCTCTCTCTCTCTCTCTCATTCTCTCTGTCTCAAATAAATAAATA